TATATATATATATCCGGACTGAATATAATAATTTATTCTATGCCAGCTTTCCCGAAAAACCTAGACCATACATTTTGCTGGATTACACCGGAGCACAAAACCATAGAACATGCAGAAAAACAGCCGCGGTCAAGTCAGGGGATATAAAAACACAGCATACAAAATAACTCAGATAGCATTGCCTCAGAACCGCATGCCTAATATTAGAATTGAAAGATGTTCATTTGTTCAAAAATATAATAAAAAACTAAAAATCTGTGTTGAAGATTGTGAATTATAAATTAAGAAAAAAAAATTAAAACAAAATTTGAAATTACCAAAGGGATGACTAAAACTAAGAGATTTATTCCCTGCTCAATTTTTTTTTTTTTCCCTTGTCCCGGAAAAAAAATTGCGTTATTTAATAGACTATAGAATGCAAAATATCACTAATGTAAAAAAGATGGATTGTAATAAACAAAAAGATAAAATACAATACAATACCAGCAGATGGCAGCTTTGTTGAGCATGAGCAAAGATAAAGAGAAGAAAAGACACCTTTAAGCCATTTCCTACCTCCTAATGGTCTAGCAGTATATACCAAAAAGTTCAGGTTCATAACAGAGGTTCATACGATCACAATTCTCACAGAAAAATATTATGTCTAGAATCAGCTTCGGAGATCATTTTCCCCTGTAAAATAAGAGCATTAAGTAGAAACGCGTTGCAGGGGCTGATAAAAGCAGAGAATTGATGTGCAAGTAAAGAAGTTAAAGATTTACTTACGTGTTCATCATCAAGGTTATGTTGTCTCCTTTCAAGAGAATTCTCCCTGCAAAAAATGCAACAAACACATACGGAGAAACAATAATATAAAAAAAAAAAGAAAGTAGATTAAAAAAAAAAAAAGCAAAGTAGCCTCACCTAAAGGTTTTCTTGTATTTTTCTTGATGTTTAGTTCATCGGCATCCTCCAAAACCAAATTCATGTACTCATCAAAGCCCTATAAAAAGGAAAGGAATGAAGGGCATCCGTGAGTCAAAATGTCAAATTGATCAAAACATACTGCTTGCAGCTGATATGATTAATAATGTTTAAATTGACATATTTTTCATAAAAATGAAATGGTGACCCATCGAAAAACAGTTTAAGGAAGATCGAGTTAACAGAAACCTCCGTGTAATCAACCAAATGTAACAAAGTTATTCCTTATTAATGTTTGCTTGAGATCAATAAAAACTTTGCATGTAAATTGGAATTCAATTACTATTTCCAAAATTCACAGTCTAATTGTATCAAATTTAATCAGTTCTCAAAATTCAGTACGTAGATCCTTTATTTTAATGCAGTCAGGCAGTAAGGACCAATTGAAGGTTTTGTTGTAAAGCATATTATGATAAAATTTTCAATAATACTATTCATTCATTTGCATTGCTAGTGAAGAAGGAGAAGAGAGATGGTGGGGAACCTAGTGGTTTAGAAATTTTCTAAGCTATCTGCCTAAATAATAAGCCTTTTTTTACTAGTAAACAAAATAACAAAACAATGGAAGGCATGTGAAGAAATTTTTTAGAAGAGAGACAGGATAATAAGTAAAAGATGCGGTAAGAGATAATGATGGAGAGAGACTAATAGACAGTGACTTTTGAATGATACAGATGTGAAGCATATAATGGAGCTGTGTGGACAAAATTATCTGTTCGTTATTATATTGCGTAGCAGAAAAGATGAGAGATGGTGGTGAACCAAATGGCTATAACGAACAAACAACATTTTTTCCTCTCAGGTGCCTCTCCTACAACAACAACAACAACAATAACAAGCCTTTATCCCACTAATTGGACAGCTACATGAATCATTTTTCTCCCTTACATCCTATTGAGTGTCATATTTTCATTTAATTCTAATAGATTAAGAACATTTTTTATACAATATCCCAAGTTTTTTTAGGTCAACCATTGCCTTTCTTATCATAAATACAATCTAAAACATTTGCTCTCCTAACCGGATCATCAGATGGTCGAAGTTTAATGTGACCAAACCATCTAAGACGACTCTCTCTAAACTTGTCTACCACTAGAGCTACAAATAACATCCTCATCTATATCACAATCACTTTGAATCATAGACCTGAGACATCTAAAACGTTCACATCTTTTAATGATTTGATCACCCATAGTTACAACTCAATTGCCTCTCTTAGAAAACAAAAATTTTTGTTTTCATGTAAAACCAAATAATAGATGGAATGAGTAATAGGATGACACATGAGCCTTAACGCCTAACTTACAGGGTATGAATAAAAAACTTTTATAGTGACATAGTATGATTTGCTAACTATTTAATGACGCTAATATTCAAACTAACAAGAAAGGCTAAGAAGGCATGTAGCATTAGAATTATTTGGAGCCTCCGTAAATTAAAGATAAGCTCAAGATGCATAGTTCAAGAAAACTAAATGAACAATTGAAAATTCCAACATAATCGTCTTAATATGTTACTCTTTAATGTTCTTAACTGAGTTTCACTTAACAGTATTCTAAAGGATGATAAACACAATTAAAATTTGATAAGTTTAATTTTGATTACATAAGAGATTATTTTCATGCCCAATGTCTAATTACATATTTATTATATGCTAACTACAATTGTGAACTTTGATTTAGTGATTTTGAAATATTTGATAATGTTTTTATAAATACATATATTTTGGTTTTTAAATTAATAAAAAAATATTACTTCGTCCAAAAGTCATTTGAATCATGTTTAATTTATTATATAGTTTGAGCTTAAAATTTTATGATTTTTGGAAAGTGTGAATATCTACTATTCTAGTATTATAGGAATAATGGATAAATTGTTAGTCCATTTATTATCATATATGGGGCTTCTGGAATCAACTGTTGTATCTAAATATTCAAAAATTACATTGACGCTCTTAAGCTCATTGATGCCCAAATTGAAGAGATTGAAAAGACTCTGGTGCCAAATAGTTACCAACAACCACTATAGTTATGCTCTTGTTAGTAATTAATAATATTATATATATTTAATTTTTTATAACAATGTGAACATATTTTAAGTTCTTGTAAGCCAAATATTTTAGAGAGAAAACTATCTGCGACGTCATATACAATCCACTACGTAGAACTAATGTTGGAGATATAAGGAAAAATAATAAAGTGAAAAGCAATAATTAGGACAACCATAAAATTATATGGATTTATATATAATCATGAAGATGCACTTAACAAGATAAAATAAAACACTAGTGATGTAAAATTGATAACGTTAGGTACCACATATTTTGCTACCTATTTCAATCTCTTGAAAGCATAAACAAGCAAAAAAAGTAAATTGAAGGCATATATTTGACACGAAGATTGAAATAAATCCAGATTTAAAGTTTAATTATAATAAAAATTTGAGCATATCATTCATAAAACTACATTTTTAAGAATGGTACTCAAGTTAGCAGGCAAGAACAAGGTGCCAGTCATAGGCTATGTTTATGATTCAATGGATAAGGCCAATGATGTGATTAATGGTACATTTCGAGGAAAGATGAAAAAAGAAAAGAACAAGCTACCTATATCAATGGTAAAAGATTGAGGTGTCAACTCCAACAATCATATCAGGACAACTACTATCTTAACCCAATTTTTTTTTAAAATGTAACCATTAGAAAATTAGTTTGAGACCCAAAAGAGAGAATGAATATAGATTAGGAGCTCTTTATTTACAATCATGTCGGTGACCTCTTTGTGACTGAGTTTGCCATCTCCAATAGTGATTAAAAATCTCTAAATAAAATTACTAATTGAATTTTGCAATATTTTTAACTTTTTATTGATATGAATTTTTTTTTGGTTGAATATAGTATTATAAATTTAATATATTATTTGAGAAAGATAAGTGTCAACCACAACTTTATAAACATTGCAATTAAAATTTTAGATTGACTTGTAATGATATTGCCCGTCAGAGGAACTGAAGTTTCTTCGTGAAGGTTAAAGAATTATTAATTTTAAATATACCAAACAATACACATTTTTTAAAAAATTTCATTTTGATTGTTTTTCACAAAGTCATAAAAAAAGAGAAATCAATTGAATCAAAAACATCCAAATAATTAAGTACTTATGAAGAAGTCCAATCAAACTTTAAAAAGAAATTTGATTTAAATGATGTTACTGGTCAAATTAGTCTAAATTTTATTACTAATTTTGTAAGAGGATAATTGGAAGATTGAAAATGTTGAAAGAATGCTTTCTTAATGAAGGCCTAAGTTCAAGACACGTAAGAGACACAGTAAGAGAAGGTCATTGAAAGTGATATATAAGATTTAAGAGGTCAAAGATAAGGTAAGATTCATCCACAATGATAGCTAGTTCATTTCGACTAACATCTAATTCTATTGTTATTTAAGAAACAGAAGATCAGATTGATGACCCGGAAATATAATAAGTTTTGAAAGTTTAAAAATGAAGAGATTGAATAAAAGAAAGAACAACTAAATATAACTATATTTTTTGTGCTAATTAAATATGTTTACCATTTTTTTATCTTGAAATTCCTACATTTTATATCAAACTAATAGACTACTTTTGGTTTTTTTATTAATTCTTATATAATATAGAAATTGATATAATGATATATTTATTGGTTTACTGTTGAAAATCATTGTCAAATGTCGTATGTATTTTTTTTATTTCATATCAAGGTTTATTCATTTATTAAATAATTCAGATTTTACATTTTTTACTAAAATTATATTAGCTCAAAAATTGTTACAAAATAAACAAATTATAAGAACTCTAATTAGTAAAAGTTTCACTTTGCTTTGTACATCAATGATAAAAAAAATAAAATAATGCATATCAAATTGTGCTCCGCACTTTAAAACATCAATGTAAATATTTTTTCGTGTATAATCGGATGCTCTATCTAAGTGATAATTATTTAGTTACAATTAGTAACCTTATTGAAATGACATGAAACAAATCTAATTTTTATTATTGCGTAAGAATGAAACATCACACCACAAACATTAGGCAGAAAAAAGCAGAGATTGAATTATGTTACATTTTCAGAAATCACTTGTGCATGCATTCAAGTTCAACTTCAGGAGGATAAATTGTAAAAAAAAATCACAAAGGGAATTGTCAAAATTAGAAGTAGGTGGGAAAATTAGTATAGGAGAATAGTTCACGTAGAGAAAAACAAGGAAATAACTCAATATCCTCTCCTAATTTTCTCTACATATTTTTTCATGGTAGACCAAATTCATAACATTCCCTTTAATTTAAGCAATGGTTATCCATAGCTTAAAAGGAGGTAGGAAATTAAGGATGAAGATTCTTAAACTAATACATTTAGTTGGAATTGTAGACGAACATGATTGGCTATTAGGTATGAATATAAGGCATGTAAAACTTAAGCTAAAAATAAATGTAGTAAATTCCTCTTCAATTTCTTTTCAATTGGAATGGACATAAGAGGCTCTTACTTAGGCCCTTATATCTATCTTCCTCGTTTGGCAGGCACCAAGGTTTTTTCGAAAATCCTATTTCTTATGCTAGATTAGTGGATTAACCAAATTTCCTTGGTACATCCATCCCGTAGTTTTCCTACCACTTCCACAAGTCCTCTGTAGTTTTCCTACCACTTCCACAAGTCCTCTGCACACCTCAATTCCAAATCAAATTTAGTGTCATAGACAGTTTGAATTTATAAATATTTTATTATGTTTTATGCATGACAAAGATAATGCCTAGAAAATTTTAAGAAAAAAATTCATAAATCAAGAGAAAATATAGTCAAGATAAGTTTAAAAGAATAAGATGAATTTTATTTGAGTTCAAACATGTAACAGGTACCATGATCGTCGCTTTTGACAAGCTTACTACAAAGTTAGTATCATCAATACAACATAAGGAAAATGAGAGTTGATCTATAAAAAGAGATGATGAAGAGGCAAATCAGCAAACATTTTTTTTGTTTCAAAGGACTCCATAGTTCACGCAAGAGACTAAGAGGATCACAAAGTACCAGAATGGACCATATGGTGAATCTAAAAGGAGGTCAATCATATACCCATGTAAGAAGACAAAATGTCGGAGCAAGTTTGATGTTTTTAAATGAGACAACAAACTTTCATTAATGTGCTTAAAAGGAGTTTAAAAAAAGTTTGTTCTAATTCTTTTATGCAGATACAATTCACTACTTGGGATAGTATCTTAGCTTCAGCTTCACTCAAAATTGATCAATTTGTTATAAATAAAAACATGATAGCCACATTAAAAGAATGGGCATGATACAGATGGGTTCAGCCAAATAAATCATCTAGATAGATTGTGTCAAGAAAAAAAAAACATCATATGGGATGGACACATCAAATGGGCAAGCTACTTAGCCTGAATAAAAAAAAATAACTCAAGTTATCATTTAATTAATAATAACCTCATTAGACACGTTGATCTTATTTCTAAATTAATAACTATATGGTTATCCATATAACTTAAATGAATGTAAAGAATTTAGTAATAGAATTTATAAATTAGCACATTTGATTTAAAAAATGGAAAAAAAATCATTGGACTCTTCTTTTTCTATAAACAAGGGACTTTGGGATGTAAGAATTAGGCTAAAAGTAAATGAAGTAAACGTTTCCTCAATCTCCTTTCTCTAATGTTTCCTCAATCTCCTATCTCTCCCACTAGGATTCAACTGAAGATGCCCTTACCTAAGCCCACTTTCTCTTCCGCCTTTGGCATGCAATCCAAGTTCATCCAAAAAACCAAGGGCATCAGTTCCAAGAAGCAAGCCTCGAATCTATATTCCCTCTCTTGAATAGATTGTCTTTATTTTTATTTTTATTTTTATTTTTATTTTTTTTGCATCAGAAACTCAAACTTGCATCATCCAAATAATGCGTAGAAGGTGAATCCGCCAAAAACATTGAATGCCTGAATTGATTAACAGATTAACCTAATTTTTCAATCACTTCATAGAATCACTGCCCCGATTCCAGATCATCCAATATTACATCAAACTAGATATTTTTATTAATATAATCTAGTCCACCTTTCAATCCTACATGTTTGTTGGAACTTAACGAGTTATTTGGTTTTGTTAGGAACAACAGAATAAGGCTAATGAGGTAAGCGGTAAGCCATTGAAAGATCCAAAAAATTTGTTTTGAAAAGTAAAATGAAACATGTCTAAATCTATAACAAATTCAAATATCTTTGATGTTCCATGTTGAATGAATGTGGAAAACTTATTCTTAAATCATAAGACTGAAATAGGTGAGATGCTATCGGTCATGCTTTTGATCTTCTCTGTGGGAAACCATTGCCATGAACCAAAAATGATAATAAACATCCAGGTGACATCACGAAATCAAGCAACTAAACGAGACTGGAATGATTGCTAACAAGGTTAAAACACAATTTTATAGAGGAAAAGAGCTTTTTTGCGACTTTAAATAACCAATTTTGTAAATGTTCATATGAGTGGTCATATGATCATACTTAAAAACTATTTTTAATGATGTTAAGCAATAGATGCCGCTATTGAGACTAAAAACTAAGTTGGAGAATCAAAGTGACATGAAACGTGTTTGTACTTGAAAGCACGGATCACTGTGAAGCAACACTTTGATCTTTAAAACATCTAGGCTGAGATGAAAATTCCTCAATGCTTTCTTATAGTGCTAAGACCAGTTTATGCTAATATAATACCATATCACCAGCATTACTAGCCTTATCCAAACTTTTTGAAGTTGATTTTGGAATCTTCATTATCCATTTATCCTTGTCAAGCGTTAATATGAAATTTCAATAGTATTTTCTTGTGCTAAGATCAATTATTGCTCATATCATATATGTTGACCTCGATACAAGTTTCACCACTTGAAAATGTCAAACCCATTACAGAAATGAACATTGAATATGGTCTAAAGTAAATCATGGTTGAAATGTCTCAATCACACTTGAAACGACCCAAAATATCGCCTGATGGCAAAACAGACAACCCCATTGCATCCAAACCATTAAGTTTAGCCAAAGAGCCTTACATTATCAAAAGTAGAAAACATAATGAAAACAAAAAACAAGAAAATGTCACTTGAATAAGGCTCAAATCGCCTTGATTACAAAAGTTGTTCAAATGACACCCGTTCGTAAAACATACACAAGCATGATTGTGACATGAAAATTTCCAAGAAAAAACACTTATATTGGTCTATCTACAACACGAGCAAAATACAGATTTTGCATGTATTTCGATGCAAAGAAAATGTCAAAACAATGCATAATTCGAGGAAAAGCTGTAACCAGAATATACGAGAGATCTAATATATTATTACACAAATCTCGCTACTCCCGGCAACTCCTGATGGAACCAAACTCTCTTCTCCTGATTTCCTATACCTTTTATAGTTCTCAGAACATCGTGAAGTGCAACACCACCCAATCCATGGTGCAGGCATACTCCCATCCTTGAGCTCCAACAAAGACCAAAACAACACCACTGAGCTCCCTCGCGTTCATGAACTCTTTCTCATTGTAGCAGGTTGAAGAACCCTTCATTCCTCCCTGTTTGAAACCGATCGTTCTTCCATGCACCAGTCGAACCCATCCTTCTCCATTTGAACCCAACCCTGTCGACACTTGCCTGAAAGCTCACACAACCTATTTTATCACTCCCCTCACACGAAAACAAAAAAAAACAACCCATTTTTTCTCGTTCTCACAGCAACATCAGTTCTCGAATCTTCCCGCACTCCTCTCCCTCGATAGCTGACCAAGTCCGACGTCTGCATCTCATAATGCCCCCATTGCCTCAACAAACTCTCTACATGCTCGTAAAACCACCGAATTGCCACCAAATACTTACCAACTGCCTCAACAAACCCTCTACATTCTTGAATCTCCCTGCACTCACACAACCTATTTTATCACTCCCCTCACACGAAAACTAAAAAAAAAATCCATTCTTTCTTGTTCTCACAGCAACATCAGTTCTCGAATCTCCCCGCACTCCTCTCCCTCGATAGCTGACCAAGTCCGACGTCTGCATCTCATAATCCCAAGCCCCGCCCCCATTGCCTCAACAAACCCACTACATGCTCGTAAAACCACCGACTTGCCACCAAATACTTCCCAACAGCCACAAAACTCACCACCCTACCCAAAAACCCAGTTGCAACCTTACAATTTGAATAAAACCATCTACAACTCCTCTGGCCGACCATCTGAATCCAAATAGCCACCAACCATGAGCTCATTGGCTCATCTCCTACTTGGTACACCAAAACCCACCTCTTTTTCTAACCTCACACCATCCCTCCACACAGAAATCCAACAGCCTCTACAATATTACCATCAAATACCTCTCTGCTACTTGAGTTATTACCTCCTCCCTCAAAATTTCAGCAGCCTCAGTCACTCACACTTAATTTCACTCTTTACAAAAAAGAGAAAAAATCGAGAATAATATAACATATATTTGTACCTTTGTTTCACAGATTCGTCACTTTGTCTTCTCAAATTTGGTCTCATGAATAAAGTATACACAAGAACCATTAAGGATCCGTTTGTGTTGTTCAAATGCAGCAGGAAAATAGGTTTGATATTACGCACCTGTTCACTTCAAATTTTAAAAGAGAGAAATTGAGAACCGATACATTTTTTGCCTTAGTGAGGCAAAACGCAAGCCTCAAGTTGAATCGAGGTGTAAGCCTCAAAAAGGAAAAGAACTCAAAAAAGTAAAAATAATTTATAAATATGACAATCTATTGATATATTGATTTAGCATATTATTATAATGAAATAAAGCACAAATCTTAATCTTAAATTTTCATATAAAAGAAAAAATTTAAATGTGATTCTAAATAAACATTCACTTAGAATATAAATAATCAATGAAGTTCAAAACCCATAGTCGCCACATCCTTGCTTTAAACATTTTCAAAAGAAGAATCCTATTTATTACATCTAATTCTATCTCATTGGCAACTTAAAATATTATTCATTCACAATGATTTACTTATCATAAACATTAATCTTAAATACAATATAATTTGAAAGAAAATAACAAATCAATAACATAATTAAGTAATCGCGCTTAAAATATCTTTTGACTATTTTGAGACATCAGATATATTACATATAATATAGTATGATACATTATAATATATAATAGTAGAATATAATATATTATACTTTTGCATAACTGATTGAGACGCTATCTTAAACACCTCGAGGTATAAAGCCTCGAGGCGTAAAAATCAAAACGCTTTCTTAAACAAAAGTTCGTAATTTTCCAAAATTGCGGGAAAATTTGTTTTAGAGACATGTTTGTGTTGTTTTAACATGGCAAAAAAATTTTAAATTTCTCTGACGAAAGTACTTGAAAGTTTATGCATATTTTCCATACGGATAGATTAAAACACAGTCATGGTGTGACAAAACACTAACCATGCCACTTTGTAGGCGGAAGGGAAAGTCTAGCTCTCTTGAAAATGCCCACTATGAGGGAAAGACGTCAAAGTGCTACCAAACTTTCGACTAACGGAAGACTTGAACCGAACAAAATAAAAAAACTTATATGTGCACAAAATGACTAAATGACCAAGTTAAAATATGAATTACCAAATATAAATAAAAAGGTTTAAAATGAGTATATTTACAAAAATTGAGCTTTGAGCAGAACATACAGGAGATTGGATAGCTCCTCAACAAGAACGAATAAAACCTGTAAAGAATTTGGTAGGTTGCTCACAAACGCAAACAAAACATTCTCATTCTGAGCTAATAGTTTAGGGCCATGAGAATTTTGAAGCAAATAACTTGGAGGTAAAAGATACATTGAGCAAAGGGGGTCACATTTATAACACAAACTTCATGCCCTGCGAGCCCCGATGTAATAAATTACAATCATATAACAAAAATGACAACACAATATAATCTGAAAGACCTCTACTAGCCTAATTAGCCATCGCATCCGCAACAGAAACGTACTAACCGAAAAATGACAAGATTGTGACTCAAAAATGAAAACTTACTCGCATCTCAATGACTCAAATATACATCAAAATGTTCAAATTTTAAACAATTCTAGGGCTTACACATTTCTCGAAACTTTTCAACTTAAATGTAGCAACTTGAAGAATGTGCAAGTACTTAACTTTTAGCACTTTTAAGACGTGCACACGAGTAGTTTGGCGACCTTTAAAATGCTATGAAGTGCGTGTAAAAGTGCCTTTTGTAAATCATTGAGATTCTTATAAGTGCATAGCTTAAATGCCTAAGGTCTGCATATTATTAAGAGTCAACACACACATGTGCTCTAACTAACATTCTAAACACTCAATCATACGAACTGATTGCGCCAAATAAATTGAACTAAAATTAAATTCGCCCAAAAAGTAAAAACTTCCAAACTTTGCAAAAAATTTTATTTTCAAAATCAAACTTAAAGTCATTTAATGATCCGTGCTCTCGAGTGGGCAACTCTGTCTATATGACAAAGTCGTAAGTCACACATCAGCTGGTGCAATACTCCTTGTAACAAAGTCTAAATCAACATCTTGGAAAATCAAATCCTCCACATATGGACAGGAGTTTACATAATTGAGTCTCTACTAAGTTTGATCCTCCTCCTTAAAAAAACTGACGTCCGACAAAATTGATTCATGTATAAACAATTCAAAACAAAATTATTCACAAGATACTTATATGTTGAAATTGAATTTCAGAAAGGAGGGTCTATTTTCAAAATCAATATTTTAAATTAATGATTTAACAAATTTTAACTAAAATTTTATCATTAAATCTGAGAATAAACTCTATCCTCCCTTTGCAACCTTTTGTCGATTAATAAAGTTGATATTAACCACAATTCACAGGGAAAAAATATTATATTAATTATATTACTACATTAACACACTCAAAATAATCTCATGCCAACAAGAATATGATACAAAACTTTTGTTTGTATGGTTTGTTAGTTGACTCTACAAACTAAGTGATTACGATTAGAGTCCTCTTATCAGGTGGTTTGACCAAACATGTTCTACTATATTATAGTCATGACTGTAACTCATATGTTCCTAAGAAAGTTTCAGCCCATTTGAGTTGTTGAAAATTATGGACCAAAGACCAGAACAATCTGGAAAGACAAAACCACGGGATCTTGATCGGCTTCATCATCATTTCTCTCATTATTCGCTCTAATTTTATGGTGAAAATTTTTATACTTTCAAATTTAAGTAAAGCTGCTAATATATGTTGATTGAACAGTGACCTAATCAGAAGCCTTAATAGAAAGTGATCTCTCATTATTGAGAGTAATTAACCATAGGGGTGTGCGCCTATGAAAAATTTTGAACCCAATAACTTAAAGACCTAGCAAAATAAAGGCAAAATCTATGAGTAGTGTTTTATTTATTATCTCTTTTGTCTTCTAAATTTGACCCACAACAAACGTAAAACTCTCTCGACTCTAGCTCTACCATTTCAAGGGAAGTTGTCATCATTATCTTCTAGCCTTATCCAAACTATTTGGAGTCAACTTTAGAATATTCATTCTTCATTCATCCTTGATAAGTGCTACAAAATGAAGCGGAGTACGAGGCCTTGATAGCATAATTAGAACTGACAATTTCAATGGGTATTACAGATGTTAACATATACGGGGATTCGCAATTGATTATCCAGCAGATCGTCGGTCAATATAGAATTCTGAAACCGAGACTTGAGGAATACTACAAGTATGTCATAAAATTGTTGGACCAAATCTCGAATGTTACTTTGTACAAGATTCCTCGAGGGAATAACTCGCATGCGGACGCTTTAGCAAAGTTAGCTAAAGAACTTGCATACCCACCACCAGATTCAGTTAATATTGTCGTTAGAGGAAGACAAGTGTTATCCAGAATCAATACATAAAAATTATGTGAAGCGGAGAAAAAGGATTCAGTGATAGCAGCTACAGCGGTTGAGGATATTAAGGATTAGAGACAGTCATTCGTCAGATATCTGCAGACAAGTGCGCTTCCAGATGATAAGTCAGCGGCGTATCAGATACTGAAGAGAGCAATGTCATATGCATTGGTTGACGGCATTTTGTTCAAAAGAGCATTCAATCAGATGTGGTTGAGGTGCTTGGGCCGTAAGGAGGCACAAGATCTTGTTAAAGAGGTTCATGCCGGACTGTGTGCTGCAAATCAGTCAAGACCAAAGATGAAGATGAAGATCAAAAAATTGGGCTACTATTGGCCTGCTAGAATGACAGACTGCATGGAAACGACCAAAAGGTGTCATTAGTGTCAGATACACGGAGTGGTACTACACCAACCACCGAATGTGCTACACCGAATCCGCTACGAGAAGTTACAGCACATCATGTTCTACAGTTTTCAAGAATCAGGTTGTTTACCGTTTCCGGGTACCGCACGGGATAATCTCAGACAATGGAGCAGCATTCAAGAGCACCAAAATCAACAGCTTCGTCAGGCAACATGGTATAGATTGGAGGTATTCAACGATCCAAGAGCAAGCGGCCTGATAGAAGCTTTCAACAAAACGCTAGTACATATTCTAAAGAAAACCCTCGACACCAATAAGAGACAATGTCACGAGAAATTGTTGGAGGCATTGTGGGCCTATAAGATAACGATCAGGTCCCGCACTGGTTCTACACCATATACTCTAGTGTATACTCCCTTTAGAAATACAATTATCTACTTCGAGTGGCCGTGGCAAACAAGATTACTACAAAGGACAAGTCCAGACTTCGGCTAGAAGAATTAGAAAGCTTAGAAGAACGAATACTGGCAGTGCAACAAAATCTAGAGTTTTATCAAGCCAAAATGGTACAAGCCTACGATAAGTTGGTCCGCCCAATGACTTTTAAAGTCGGTGAGCTCGTTCTAGTTCTCAGAAGACCTATCATTACATACCGCAAGATGGGTGGAAATTTTGAGTCTACTTGGGAGGGACCATTTGTAGTGGAGAGAGTCTTCACCGGAGGAGAATATCAACTAGAGGATTGTCAAGGCAAGAGACCGATGCTCCCGATCAATGAGAGATATTTAAAGAAATACTACGCAACCTGACACTTTTAGCGACATTTTGCTACTTTTTGGGTCTTTTGTCTGTTTTGGGCATTAATAACTAAAATTGTAATAAAACTCAAAATTGTCATGAATAAAATTCGGCACGTCACTCCTCACACCTTCTTGGATATGTTTTCAAAATTTCATTAAAATAAATATAAGGATTCTAATAACATTTTTTATCATTATGAGTTTTACCGAAGCTGGAGGGTGCTAACGTTTTTTCTATCTTCTACAGGGAAATGTTGGGTCAGAGACTGTTAGTTTCAGCCTTGCATGGCTTGCATCGCACCCCAATTACGAAGAGTTCGTCTCAGAATTCTAAGGCTCGCCGTTTGAAATCAATGGTAGCAACCCCTGATGGTTGCATGATTAACTCTGTGGCAGGGGGCTTTGAGACTCAAGCTAAGGGGAGAGCTTATCGACGCAGCGTTGCTCGTCGCAAGAAGAATGTCCTGGAAAGGGCTGAGAAAGTTCT